CGGAATTGTCCAAGAGAAAAACTTTGCAAATTATTCTCTAAAGAATTTGAGTGTGTTAATATCTCTTTGCTACACTCGGAAATAAGTTTTTTCTTTGTTTAACATTTTAACTTATTAACATAGCTCAAGGCTTCTTAACCACTGATCTTCACCAATCAGAGAGCTTTTTCTCATGATCAAATGATACTGCACAACATTAGAGAAGTCATATAAAAAATCAAATCTTTAATACAAGCACAGAATTCAAACCATAGAGAAAGCAGATGCATAGATAGCAGCAGACTTCACAATATCCACACTAGCATTTGTCTCTTCCCTCATCTGAGCTCTAGCGTGTTCAGTTTGAATTCCCTATTTAGCTCTTCAGATAAGTGGATCAAATGATGCTTTCTAATGACCGTGTTACATGCTCTACTGTGTTCTAAATGTCTTCAGTTCTAAGGCTCCCTGGATATTCAAAAATGAAATGGCTCATTGGAAGATAATTTGAGCATCACATTCTTAGAGAACTAACTAAAGCCACTGAATGGAAATTAACCAAATACAGAAATTCGCCAATTTTTAAGAAGGCTTCCTCTTAACAAGAAGTTGTAATTATTTTGCATTCCTTCAACAACTTTTCTTTGGGGAACATTTGCGGATAAGGTCTACTCTTTCTTGTATACTGTTTTTTCATGACTACCTGACTTGATACTTGGGCAAGCTGAGGTGGGGTGTTGGCAGCAAAGTCCTTCTATTCCTTCGTTATCGAAGTATGTGATATATCTCAATTTGAAGGTCTCTTGCCTCTTCAGGCAGTCTCAATATCTCATTCTTAGACTAAGACAATGTGTTGTGTTCACCAAGTTCCATTCCACTTTTATCTTCCTGGGAACATAGAAAGGTTTCATGTTCCAGCCTTCCCTATGACTGTATCAACACTCATAGCTAGTTTTGGCCAATGAATTGTAAGTGAGAGTAATAAGTGTTATATTTATGCTGAAGCATAATGGCAGGAAGCCACACATTTCGGATGTCAAAGCTACAAAACTCTAAGCTCCTATGCCGGACATGTAGCATAAACAAGAAATAAGACTTCTTATATGAAGCTACTGAAATATTGGGGTCATTGGTTAGTATGGCGTAACTTTTCCGGTTGTGATTAATGTGTATGATGACTACAGCAATCTTCCCTGGTCCCAAGTGTCAGTGTTTGAGCTTTCGCATATTAAAAATATGCTCTACCAACCACTCTTCTATTCAACTGTCTCCTTGTACCGAGACAACTCCAGGGGCTAAACATTCTCTACATTGTCATCTATTGCCTGTAAACACCTTGTTAAAAGGATGATTCGTAGTCTTCCTTGGCTGGAGAAAATCAGAGCCTACAAGGGTAAAAGAGGAGTTAAAGAGAGAAGAAAGTTAATGGTTCTTAAACTTTTTGTGCATCAGAATCACCTGGGAAGTTTATTCTAACTCCAAGTGCAAATCTGCCCCATTCTAGAGACCCTTATTTAGTTAATCTTGGATGGGTCCAGAAATGTGCATTTGAATATGAATCCAAAATGGGTCTGATGTGGATGCATCAAGGATTACACTTTGAGAAGCCTTGGACCAGACTCTGATAAAGGCTCTCTCCTCCTACAACCTAAGCAATAATATAAAACATATAAGGAAGGTTTGAAAGAATTTTCATAGGTAGGAGTTTGACCCATGGAATACCATATCTGAATTATCAAAGGCACTCTATTGAAATGCAGACTCCCAGACAATGCTCAGTATCTAATAAACAGGTCCTCTGAGGGGAGAGGGGCCTGCACTGGAATCTTCATTGTAAGATGCCCCCCAAACGATTTTTAGACATACAATATTTGAAACCACTGTCATGAGGATTGTGTGTTCTTCTATGCATATCTTTATGATTAGTTCAATGTATTATTCATGACTTTTTCATGGACATTAGTTCAGGAACATTAGTTTTACCAACCACTTCAAATCTTCAACTGGAAGTGAACATATTATTACTAGAAATTTTACTAGTTATAAAACGAGGTAACAGGAACTCAAATGTAAATCATCTCTGCTGAAAGATTATATTTGTTTTTTAAGGTAAATGGTGAATATATTTTTATTTCTCATTAAGACAAATGCAAATCTTTTATTTTGTGGGAAAATTATAGAACGATCATAGAGTCTAGAAGACACAAAAATGATTCTACTTTTTAAGTGCTTAAATAAATGTTATAATATTTTAAAATAAAATTATATAAAATCATAATACGACAAGGCCAGATGACACATCAGACACTTGATATGACATTTAATTAGCTGTGTGTGGGTTTACATTAACTGCTTTTTTAATTTGAATATATTATGGTTCACCTTAAATAGTTCCAATTAGGTGGTTTTGTAATAGAAATACTTCCACTTGAATCTTACAGGGATAGTTCTAGAATTGGCACTGGATCAGATGTCAGAAGCCTAGATTAGAGGTCCAACCTTATCCTCCAATTAGCATTTCTTTAGGAAAGTCACTTAACCTGGATAATATGTTCCTGTTCTATACTGCTTTCGGGCATTTTGTGACAGTAAAAAAAAAAAATGTATATGAAATCAATTTGTAAGCCATAAATCATTATGCAAATGTAAGTTTATGCAACCGTGAGAGAGATTCCACTATGGGTACAGTACTGGCCAACACTCACTGAGCACTCACAATGTGCCAGGCACTGTGTTATACACTTACATGTATTATATCATTTAATGCCCACAAAACCCAATGAGGTTAATAATATTATCTCCATGTTAGCTGTGAAGAGATTGAAGCCCAGAAAGATCATAGTCAACCAGATAGTTAGGAGAGAAGTAGGACTCAAGTCCATCTCTAATTGACTTAAAACTCATGTTCCCGAATAGGCAATATCTCTAAGTAACAATATCTACTTAACCTACAATCATATCATTTCAATTATAAATATGCATGACCCATGAGGAAATTTTCTTTTCTTATTATCATTTGCTTCAATGAAGTATATGACACTGAACATTATATTCAATTTTCACACGTTGGGTCAGGGAATAATAACATAACCTTCTAGCCTTTCTCCATACAGTGAAAGCATGGTCCATTATCTTTCTGACCGCTGTATAGCTAATGCCCCAAACTATGACTTTATACTCCTTACACTGTACTTATATTGTCAATGGAAATTGATGCTGACCAAAAATTAGCTTTTGAGAACACCACAATTATCTAGCTACTCATTCACAATAAGAGCTCATGTTTAATTTCCATGCCTCTGCCACTAGTCCTTTCGTTTATTTTTCTTCTCTAAGAAAACAATTCATAAATGACAAAAGTAATTTCTCAGTTTTCCCAAAGATGTTTTATAGTTTGGGACACTATCCTAATAAGCAATAGTGCTGATTATTGGTAAAACCATTCTCTCCCTTCTTAGGATTTGGAATGACTGACATTACCCAGTGTTAATATATTTGGAGAGAAACTGCTATGTGTCCTCCATGTGAAGATCCTTGAACATCCTTGAAGAAGGATGGATTAATCTCTTTGAGAATGAATGCGATATAGAACATGGGTGGTGCTCAATCATTTTCTGCTGGATATCCAGGTAGGGTAACCTGTCATTTCCTAACTACAAGTTCTTCGATGAGTCACATTTACTCCGGAGGGCCCTTATTCCTTCATCTTATTGTTTCAACAGGAAAAGGATCTAATAGTTTCTTGTTTCAACAGAGAAGGGATCTTCTGCTTTTCTCTCCAAGAGGATTAGTGGCATGAAACTTCTGGTTTCTTTCTCCATCCCTCATTCACTGTTAGTGACAGAAAGGCTGACACTCATTGGGCTATAGCTCACCAGCAGCCAGGGTTAAGGTATTGAAGGTGACTGTTCAGGTCTGGTATGGCCTTTTGCTCTTTTTACTCTGCTCCAGTTCAGGGATAGAAAATTGTGCTTCTAATTTTCGTACAGTAAACCCGCCAGGCAGGGACCCTCTACAGAGTAGATGGAGGGCACAATATTTTCTAGCTTTTTCTCCTCAGTGGAGTGTTGGGTCAGATCAGCTTTATTCTGAGGGTCTATCTAGATGTGTGCCATTTGAGGAGGAAATAAAGTTCTCCCACTTTATCCTTAGGGCCAGCCTCTGTCCTCCCATCTCAGTAATGTCAGGGACACTTAAATCCCCATTTCGACAATGTTCTTTGAGTGAATACTTTCATTCTGAAACTATAAAGTGTGACCCTCAAGCTAAATATGTGTTGATGTGTTTTGGTTGGTTTTTTCTTTACGTTTAAGCCATCTTGTAATTGAGAGATTACATAAAAATCTGGACTTTTAGATTCCGTTGAAAAACTAGACTATCTGCCAACGGCAGGGCTAAGTCAGGGGCAACAATCAAGATGGAGCTTAATAGTCTGCTCCCTTTTTACAAAATATTTGCTCTTCAGTTACCTACAGGGCCAAAAATTCCTAATATCTCCCTGACTTGTAAATCAAACGTCATGTTCCCTTTACGATTGTGTTAAAATGTTTAGAGTAAAGAAATGCTCATCTGTACCAATGTCCTTATACACATGGGTCTTAGATGAAGAGCCTGTGTATTATGTTCATATCTGTTCCTCTTTTTCTAGTTTTTCTTACCTTCTGATCCTTATAGGCACTTGAATTGACTGTTCCTTCTCAGAACCCTAAATGGGAAGAAAGGATTCTTGCACCACACTCTACATAAACCCCTGACAATCCTGAATTTTTCACTTCTCAGTTCTACAAATATAATGAGATCTTTGCGCAAACTTCCATTTCATTTGAAACATTTCTCACTCTCATTTAGTCTTTTCCCAGATCTCTCCTAATACACATAAGAAAGAAAGAGACACCTCAACTTCCCTGGTACCTAAACCAAATCTTGATTTCCCAAAATGGAATAATCTTCAGATGTGAATTCAAGAGACAAAAAAGGTAGAGGGGAGAGAGGGAGGTAAAAATTTGTTAGTACAAATAAAATCACATAAAAATATAACTTTATTGATGCCAACAATTTTAGGCAGTTTAGAGAACACTAGTTTACAGTGAGACCGAGAACACCATATATCCCTGTGTGAGTGTGTTTAGTTTTTCCAGGGAAAATATGCTGTAGGTTTTCTGTTGAGCTTAGTCCTACAGCTTCCACCAGAACCAACTCCATTCCATAATGCTCCCTTGGGAGACACACCCTGTAAGTATCATAGCCCAAGTAGCCCTGACTGACTCAGAACATGAAGTTTATCAACAAACTCAAAGGAAACACATTTAAATTTTTTGCTCAATTTTAAACCATTGGGCAGGATAGAGGATCAGACTTTAGGCGACTTTCACATACTGACCTTCTAGGGCCCAAGAAGAGTGTGCTCTTCTGAGCCCATTAGAGGCAATAATCTGGATTCAGGTCCTTCAGGTCTTTTGTCTCCTAGAAATAAATAGTTTTTAAAAATCAATAAAGGAGACACAATCTGATAGTCCATTAGATGATAAAAATGTCAACTATTCCCATAGGTTCATGACACAAAGAAGGCTGGTAGAGACAGCAGCCACCACCCACCACAGAGTAATTATAGGATATAAAAATCATTGTTATTGGATAAATCCGTGAAATGGTGAAGAGCAAGGGCTGAGATCTGGGGTGCAGGGGGCTCCAATCTGGTGCCATTTTGTATCCATTGAGTTTCTGACTCTTGGGAAACAGGCTTACAGAGGTGTGTCTCCCACTGTGGTTGGGTATGAATCTCTGCCCGGCTCTTGCTCCTCAGGTGACTCTCTCCTTCACAGTAGGTGACACAGCAGCGACAGGCTGCAGAAGACTTTCCTCTGTGTTTGGACATCGTGCCTGGGGCTGGGGAGGCACCTGCAGCCCTCCCTGAGCTCTGGAGTTCTGGGGGATCTTTCAAACGACTTCTCCTCCTTTGAGCATGGTCCAGACTGATGTCAGACTGGGAAGAGCAGCTCTCATTCCAACCAGAGCTGGCACTCAGACTTCTCAGGGGAAGAGCCAACCGCAAGGCCTTCCAGAATTTAGAGCCAGAATGTTTGGACTTTTCTCCCTTCCAGCTCACAAAAGACACAGACTCTTTCAGCTGCAGGATGCTTGGGTGTGGGTGCTCAAGGGGACGGTATTCAACCACAATAAGTTTGGTGGCAATGGAGTTCTGGCACATGACACCCAGTTTAAACTCCAGCATACTGATGCTCTTTTCTGTCACATAATCTGGGCTCAGGACAACAATCATCCTTCGGCTCCTCTGAATGAAGTCAAAAACTGCTTCCACTGTATCTACAGGAAAATGGAAAGATAGGACAATGCCTAGTGAAAACTTATATAAGTTCCAGTTGATCATTGTCCGTCCTACAAAAGACATCAATGAATAAACACTTGAAAATATGTTAAATAATCTGTCCAGTTAGGGAATCTCATTTATATCACTCTTACTAATGGTTGCTAAGCATCTGCTGCCTTCAAGGATGAGGAATTAACTACCTCCAAAAGCAGCTAATTTCAGCTCTGTTTGTAAAGTGTTTCTTGTTTTGAATTTCTTCTCTGCAACTTTTATCTGGTGGTCTTAGATCTGACGCCTTCAAATATTCGGAATATTTCCCAACTATTGTGATCTTACTGTATTTTCTTCTCATCTCTAGATTAAAGAACTTCAGGATTTTAATCTTATTCCCCATATGACATGGTATCAAGTCTTTTCCCCATTTTTACCATTTTCCTCTGAATAATGTTCAGTTTATATGTGTGTCTCCTAAGAGTAGCATCCTGAACAGGACTGAATACAATGCTTCAGACATAGTCTGATCAGCAAAAAGCAGTAGGGAATTACCACCTCCGAACATCCTCTATCCCAGTTGCATCTCTTTATACTTAAAATTTTAGGACACATCAGTTTATAATATTGATCCTATTGTCAACCAAAACTCCCTTTCTTTTATTCTTCTGTGTGAAGAATTGGTCTAAAAATCAATTAAAGGAGAAACAACAATGATGACAGGTAAGAATTAGTCAATTAGTTAAGACTTCTGGCAAAGTATTCAATTCTAATAGTTACTGAGGTGGATTTGAACAGATCCCAGTGGAAAGTTCTTGAGTTAAATGCAGTGTTCAACTCACAGTGAGATCTAGGAGCTTGATCAATATGATTTTCTGAAGGAAAGGAATTCCAAATGTGTGAATCACAGCCATGGACAACTCTGAAAACAGGTGCTACAGACAGAGGATGAGGCTGAGTACCTATGCTTTCGGGGCCAGGGCTGAAACAGTGATGGAGAGAGTTTTCAACCTGTGAAGACAAGCTGAAAGTTTGCAGTTAATTTGATCATATGAATTTGACAGGGGATGGAGGAGCTGTGCTTCCTGCCAGATTAGTTCTTTCCACTTAGTGAATTTAACATGAATTCGAAGGGAAATTGGAAGAGACGTGTTCAATTTTTAAGAATTTTTGACTGGCTTTTATCAAGAGTGCAAAATGTTTTAGAGAATTTTTGTTTTGGTCCTAAATGATAAATCTAAATTTTCACTTAGCTTCAAAGCCCGTGTGTGTGTGCATGCACGTGTGCATGTGTGTGTGTGTCTTTTCAAAACTCCTCTGTCCTCTTTTGTCCTACTCAGAATCTTATGTAGCTGTCTTTCGTAAATCTGAGAATGTGAGAGTAGGAAGTCTACTGCTTCTCCTGTCTCATGATAAATACAATATAACCTTAAGACAACACGGGTAGTTTTTCATCAAAAGGAATTTGTGTACTCAAATTGCGTGTGCGTGTGTTTCACTTCAAAACAGTCACTTTAGGAAAATGTATGTTTTGTCCAACGGGGATACCACTGTTGAAAAGAAAACACTGTCCTACATCCTCTAAACAGAGAGACTGTGTTTGTTTTTTCCTTTTTTAAGATTATTGGTACCCTACCCTGAAAGTGTGGGATTTGCATTTGAAAGAAGGCAACACTAAAGAAACAGATATGGACTGGGGAATTCTAGACATTGAGGAATGGATGTAGGAGATGCTTCTTAGATGGGAGTTGGGCTATTCCTAGGAGACTTCACATAGTACTTTGAAACAAGTTGCCCCCTTTATGGCATATTTTAATATATTCCATACTGTCAAAGCTTCATATTTGAGGATGTAAATTGTTATTACTTTTTAATGCTGAAGACTCTTTGCAGAGGGAGTTGTAGATTAGGCCATTTATTCTGTTTGGCTCAAAAAAATGAGGTGTGGGCTGGCCCCATGGCCGAGTGGTTAAGTTCGCGCGCTTCGCTGCAGGCGGCCCAGTGTTTCGACGGTTCGAATCCTGGGCGCGGACATGGCACTGCTCGTCAGACCACGCTGAGGCAGCGTCCCACATGCCACCACTAGAGGAACCCACAACGAAGAATACACAACTATGTACCGGGGGGCTTTGGGGAGAAAAAGGAAAAAATAAAATCTTTAAAAAAAAAAAAAAAATGAGGTGTGAATATATAGTGATGAGACCAGTTTTCTTGTCTGGGACTAGATTGGTTTTGAAGTCATGTTTTCTGGTCTAGAACTTTTCAATACTCTAAAATACTCCTGCCTTTAAAAGTCATAAACTTCCTGGAATTCACCCAGAAGAAAACTGGGGCTTTAATTTTGTTCTTTGGCTAGGTTATCAGTGTACAAAACAGCAGCAAACTTTCTCTCTCTCTCTTAAAATTTGAAGTGAAGGGAAAAATAGGGGGCACCTAATTTGGAAATGGATCTCAATTCAAATATTGGTTTCTCCATTTATCTCTGTGTCTCTGTTTTTTGTTTTTTTTTGCTGAGGGAGGTTAACCCTGAACTAACATCTGTAGCTAATCTTCCTCTTTTCTTTCTTGAGGAAGATGAGCCCTGAGCTAACATCTGTGCCAATCTTCTTTCACTTTATATGTGGGTTGCTGCCACAGCATGGCTGATGAGTCATATAGGTCTGCACCTGGCATCTGAACCCATGAACTCAGGACGCTAAACCAGAGTGTGTCAAACTTAACCACTATGCCACAGGGCTGGCCCCATTTTTATCTCTGTTTTTATCTTAATATCTTCAAGTCTGAGTTCATCCATCTGTAAAAATGCATATAATGTGAGCAAACTTGTAAAGTTGTTAAACAAATTAGAGATACCTATCTGTAAATGTCTAGACATGCTAGACATTTGAATTAATCGTTGATTAAATTATTATTCAATTTCTAGTGCACTTAATAATAAAATAATGTATTGACTAATGTTGATTCAATCTGAATCAATTCTTGATGGTAACTTTAGAGAATCAGCTTAACATGTGGATTTGTAAGACAGTAGTAAGTTTTAAAAATTCTCTCTGTACATTTAAAACAGAGATGGATTAAAAATGCTACTGAAATACTTAATTTCCTAGCCCATTGCTAAAGATACTCTATATTCCTTTGGTAGAAACAGAGAAATAAAACAGATTAAAGGGTGAATGTGTCTCTCCTATACTATGAATTTACTTGTTTCAAAGACTGAGTGACATCAGTAAATGAATGAAGAAAATATCTTGAGAGCTTTAACAAGGTAACAGCGAGACATCCAAACTACTGATATGGAAACTGCTGATATTGAAACTACATAGTCACCACTGTGTTCTAGGAGCCAGTTTATTATGTTCCGGGTTGGAAGCAACTTCAGGCTCATCGCCACCATCCAATGCACAACGCCCCTACACAAAATCTCAATAAGATCCATCAAATCTCTGCTTGTACACCACTAGTAATAGTGGGCACAGTATCTCCAAAGATAGTGAAATACATGATTGTCCAACTCTGCTTTAAAGTTGTTTCCTAATTGAGTAGAAATCAGTGTCCTCATAACTTCCATCCATTGATCCTAAGTCTACCCTTTGAAGACTGGTTTGAAAGAGAAAAATTCTTCAGGAGGAAAATTTTTACGAATCTAACCAGTTCAGGTATAGTGACTCAATAAATATTCTTAGAACAAATGAATAAATAGGGATTTAAAAAAAATAAGCAAGAAAGACTCCCTGTTACTGTGGACTTAATATTATTAACTCAAAAGAAAATGCATTTCCAAATATTTATCACCGATTTCTTTGAAATTTGTGATACAAAGGCATCTTCAATTCAAATTATTGCCCATTAACTAAAAGTATGGCATTAATTAATTGATGTCATTCCAAAGCCACTTCCTTGGGGTTGCATTAAAGCCTATAAAAGCTAAGAGATTCCTGTAAGTTACCCAAGTTCCAAGTCAAATAATAAAGAATAGGCTGTGTCTTTGTTTTAAAACAAGCTCTCTCTCCTTTCTCTCCCTCCTTCCTCTCCTTCTCTGCCTCTATTATTCTCTCTCTTTTTCTCTCTCTCCGTCTCCTTATACACACACAAACACACACGCGGTATACTAGAACAATCCACTTTACTTAAGTAACTCTTTTACTCACATGTAAAGAAAATGTTCTTGAGATGAAATTCCCATTTTTCTCAGACTTCTTTCAGAGAGAGAAACTTAACTAAGGTAACTTCTCACATTTTTTTCCATGTGTCTCATTAATTCTCTTTATTCTCATTTCTTATGCTCATGCATGAAAATATAGACATAAAACACATGCACAAAATAAAACTCAAAGCAGAAAATAAATGGTTTATTTTTAAAATAAACAAATTTACAAATCAAATGGAAAATACAAAAGTTTATGAATAAAATTAAAAAAATCTTAAAATATTAAAACCTATGGAAACAAAATGGATAATTAACAAGTGGAGTGATGGTTTGTTTCCCAATACAATGGAGTGCTTGTTCGTTAGAATGCTAGAGAATTATCTAAGTTACAATACAGAAGAGCATTAAATAAATTTCGTATTTGTTTAATTAAACACACTATATATCATTGTTTTTTGTTAAGTTGGGTGAAGAAGGTCTTTATATCATTTATCTAAAACCATTAAGTTTCTTTTTTTAACACTAGAGAGCAATTTCTTCTCACTCTCTAAATTATGTTTCCCCATTTCCTTCAAATATTCTGCATTGGGCATCTTCTGGGACATAAAACAAACAAAACATCCTGAAACAAAATTCTCTTAGAAAGGAACATATCCTTTAGAGTTGAGATGTTTTAGGACAAGTTCAGTACCAAAGGCAGGAATCTAAATAGGAAAAAAAAAATCAAGAAATTGCTAAGGGCACCCAATAGCATTTGGGATAAATATGGAATCCAAAAGTGCAAAAAGAATGCAGCATTGGCAAGAGAATGGCCCCTTGGTGATGGGACTGTCCTCCATTTACCTAAAGCTCATCCAA